AGAGAGGCAGGAAGTTTAACCAGCAAAACAAGCTGTAAAGTCAGGAATATCTTAGCATAATTAAAAAAAAGTAAAGATTGCCTTAAAAGGCTCAACAACATAAGTACACTCAAAATGAGACCCTGTCACTGCTACATCCTAAGGAAAGTATGAACAACAATCCATCAGCTTAACTCAATATAACGTTAAAAAAACATAAAATGATAAAACCAACAGAATATTCTAAGTGAGAATACCATTTCAAGCTGTTACGTGTCAACATGGAGCCATTCTTGTAGCTTTTGCATGTCTCCAAATTGCTATTTTTTTCATCTGTAGTTTTAATCACAGGTTATAAAAACTTAAGGGGCCCAATGTCTACAATATCTTAAGAAACCATAAGGTGATTACTCATCCAGAGTGAGCACAGATTTTCATTCCTGAGATCAGAATATTTGATTATAGTTGCACAATGTGATACTAAATGGTAATATCTTACCCAAAATATCTGAGGTATTCTCATACTGTTGTATTGATGGATTTGATGTACTATTCTGTTGATCCAAAATTATCTTCATCTCACTTTCTATCTGTCTCTTTCCACCCATTGTCAACTCCAGAGTCTTAGCAACATCCAAGTCACGGATAGTATCCTTATAATGTCCCATAGAAGCATTTGCCTTACCTCTTCTGTACCATGCCTGCATTGGAAAAAGGAAGAAAAGTAAATTTGAAGAAAACTGTAACTCTCTTAGTCTCCTTTATCCTCCAGTAAAAAAAGGCATCTCTAACTCACTAAAATACAACTTAACGCTAGGCAATAAAAGCATCTCACCTTTGCATAGTTTGAAGAAATCTGAAGTGCCCGATTGCAGTCTCGTAAACATTCCGTTAGAAGACCCATTTTCTAAGGATTACATATAACAGATACAGTAACAGTGAGCAATGAAATCTGTTGATAAAGAATTGAACTTGTTACGTTTGGTATATACCCACATAAATCAAGAATGGGACTTACATGCAATACAGAAGCCCGATTCACATACAAAGTAGCAACCAAGTTTCTGTCTTCATGTGCATCCATAGGAGCAACTATCAATGCCTGTGCCTCATGCCAATGATAATAAACAAACAAGTAAACAAATAAGGGGTTTCAGAGCAGAGGTGTTACCAATCTAAGCCAATGAGTAATTAGTTCTAGCAATGGCTTCAAAATAGAGAAGTAATTTCAAAGATGGAGGTACCTGAGTATAGAAATCCAAAGCATTAGCATAATCACCACTCAAGAAGCACTTATTCCCCTTTTGCTTCGACTCCAAAGCAGCTTCTTTGTTCTTGCCACACAGAGCCACTTCAGGGTCCGCCAAGTCCCTCACCATCTAATCAAATACGACAAATCTTCATTTCTTCTGTTGTTGTTTGTTTCTTGAAGCTCATAAATTAGAATGTACAAAAATAATGACATACTTGGTGAAAGGGCTCGAAATGAAGAAGAAAATCGACGAGAGAAGAGCATGTGCGAGGAAGATCGTCAGCAGAGCTCTCTCCGATCATTCGCTTTAGGGTTTCTGGAACCAGAGATTTCAGCTTCTCCATGAGCGCGCTTTTGAGCTACGCCTTGGGCTTGGAACTTCGTACAACGGCTATATGCTTTGCTACCCGCTCTGCTACTCTGTTTTATGCGCGGTGGTGAGAGTTCGTTTCTTTTTCCTTTTTCTTTCTTTTTTGGGTAAGGAAGGCTGTGAGTGTTAAAATAAAAACAATATATATATTCTATCCCAAATGTTTTATCTTTTTTAAGAATTTTCTATACCAAAATTATTAAAAATAAATGTATCAAAGGCAAAATTGATTTATAAAACTTGTCCGAGGTTCAATAGAATTTACCCATGTTCAAAATTCATTTCCCACCAGTGCGTTTTTGACAAGTTATTTCTTCTTGTGTGAAAATGTTAGGAAGATGTTTGCTTTTTGGAACTTCTTCTGTTGGAAGATGTTATACGAATCTACCAATACTACAAATATATCTCATAAGAATGGTATTCGTTTCTTTTTTTGGGTCGACGTGTGATTGTACTTCTGATAAAATAAACAGATTATCCATCCATTTTTACAAAAACTTGAGCCTCTGGGGTAATTAGATGCTGGCAAAATCCACACTACAGAATG